GCTCTTAAAGAAATATGAATCATCTGTGTCTGTGTGAAGGCTAGTGTTGAAGTGAAGTCTGAGGGGCTGATGGATGAGTGACGGTTCAGTCCGTCAGACCCTGAGGCAAAGTTCTTGTCAATGACTGATCCAAGTTATCCCGCTGACTTACGATGGCACATTTCTCAAAACGAAGTGAGAGAAAGAGAAGTGAATTCTGCAGAAGAGATTTGTGTAAAGGGCATTTGTAGACGTCAGCATCAGCATCTCAATTTGGCACATGATACTGTCAGTCAGTATTCATAGAATGACGTCCTTTTGTTTTCATGTTGAACTAATGTAACAATAATGTAACTAAACAGCTAACATCTAACCAGTTTCATCTGCAATTAGGTCAATGACAAGATAAAGACATCTTATAAGATCTTTTAAAAATCATGTTTAATACTAGGGCTGCACGATAAATCGCATGCGATATTTAATATTTATCGTGCAGCCCTATTTAATACACATGTGCCAAGTTAATTTTTGTTTCTACAGCACTCCTAAGTTAACATGGTGATGGAAAAAAATATGAGATGGGTGGAGAAATTATATTTCAGTGCTTTTGCTTTCGCTCGCAAAACTTTTTCTTAGATCACATAAGTTAGAGAAAACAAAAGTTTCATGAGTGGTGAAAATTATATGTATTTGTATTTGTGTGTGTGTGTGTGTTTATTTATATATATATATATATATATATATATAGCACATCTTTTCAAGGTAATGTTTGGAGAAATATTGTTGAGGGTGTTTATTTTTGCAACATATTTTAAAAATATTTTTCAAACTGTTTATAAGACAGACACCTTTATTTGTCATTGATTATGCAGCTGAGAATACTTCAGACAAGAATTCTATTGATTTCATTCATAATTGTCAAAATTAATTTAGAATTTAAAATGTATTTTTTACATTTAATTTATTAAACACGTGCTCACCATAGAGATGCATTCAAGCCATTCTGTGTATGAACTGCATTTTTATTTTTTTACATTTGTGAATAAATCAAAACATAAAACATTATTGTCATGTCATTGACCCTTAAACAAAACCTTCTGCCTGCCAAACAACATAAACCATGATATTCATATAGAGGAGCATATGTCCATACATTTTACTACCACCTAAATCGATTGAATGTGATTTAAGTGTGTCAGCATGTTCCACTCCAGATGGTAGTTTTTTTATGAGAGGCGGAGGCAATAATTTAGTTCTCCTGGATTGGCGTTCATAAATCATACTTGAGATCACTCACATTCATTCCCACCTGACAGCTCATGTGCTTGTTACTCTGATTACCCCCATAATCATTCCCGCCTCTGAGTCCATTCTCTATCATTACCACCACCAAGAAACACGTGGAATGTTACTTCATGGACACACTAAAAACCAGGCGATTTAATTTTTAGCAAGCTTTTATGTTGTTTCTCAAGGACACAGATAAGAATCAGATCTCCACAATAATTCCTTAGAAGGTGGTCTAAATGACAGAGTACTAGAAGAAACAGATTTTTTCTTTCCTTGTGAACTTTCTCCAAGTAAATTATTTGCCCATATTGATACCTGCATTATTGATAAGTGATAAAGTGGCATCCAGTCATTTTTTCTACAAGGAATTGCTCACAAAAAAAACATTGGCTCCTGCATTCCCTTGGCTCATCTCTTGCTGCATTTTCACCATACACATCTATAAATAATTCTTCCATTTCTTGGCCGGTTCGCTTTCAGCGTATCTCCAAGTGTATTTATTTTGGATAAGCCCGTGAGGAGAATCTGGCAACCTGACCTCTTAACGGTGAGGTCCCAGCTTAGCTCTTATTTACTTGATAGAATATTAACGGTGAATCTATCTTCTACACTCTGCCGGGCACCAATGGAAAACATAATGTCTATAAAACCTGTGGGCAGATAAACTGTCTGACCCAAATGTTCCTCCTGTCATGTTCTCTGGCTTGAATTCCTGCTGGTTCATAACCTGGACCACCTGGGAAGGATAATGTCAATTCTCTACCACTTAAATGTTATCTGGAAGCACTATATACAATTTGAAAACGGCTGCAGTTTGTAATTCAAGCAACACCTCTCCTGATAGATATATTTTCAGTAAACAGATAGATGATTTCACTTTTAATTTCCACGTTTCAGTTTCATTCCTACCATTTGAAGAAATTAGTTAATTCACAGAGTGTTTCAGTATAGACAGATAGATAGATAGACAGTGTACACTCAGGTCTAGGTGTTTAAAAAGTTCTGTGCACTCCAGGCTCATCCAGCTGTGTATAATGCTTTCAAAAAGCTCTTAGTACCCATGTTTCTATCTCTGCGTGCAGCTCAGGGCTGTCAGGATGCCACTCAAGCCCAACGTAATTAAACTCCAGAGAATAGACCAAAGTGAACCTCAACAGGTAAGATCTGCAAAAAGCTAAGCATGAGCTATTTTTATTTGTATAAACTACCTGTCAACCAATGCAACATCCAATGTGTCTGTTTAAAGATGCAAACATACAAATAGGATAGGATAAAAGACAAAGAAAATGTAGGCCTTTAAACACACAAACATGCTTAAAACTCCATCTAGTGGACAACTTATGAAAAACTCACAGACAAAATCTAGTACTGTAATTGCCTACAATATCTACAGAAGCAATTTTAGTGCTCAAAGACAAAGGATAAGTTCATGGAATTGGCTTTTAATTCACTATGGTGTGATCCTTTAAAGATTGATGGGCCTATTAACCACTGAATTTATTATTGCTCTTTTAGCTCCGAGATTACCCCACATCCTCATTAGCTCAAGCCATCAGTTGTAGTGCATTATGGGGAGAGAATGTGATCGGTTTGAGTAAAGATGATGCATGCCCTGATAATGTAATTATGTTCTTGCTCTCTCACAGACAGTGCAGACCCCTCTACAAACTCTTCCGGTTCCAGTGCACTCATAGGGCACTGTGTTACCATAGGAACAGTATACATAAATGCACATAATTACGTTATTACCCTTGTCTCAAAGACAGCCAGTGTGAGGGGGAGAGCGAGAGATAAAGAGACCAAGAGAAGCATAGGAAACAGTTAATTGAGGTGCTGTCTTTATTTTTCATTCTAACAGATTTGTGAGCTCTGAATCATCGGAGGAGCCTTGTGTATGTGATTTTTTACCTATCAAATAATAAATAATGGTTGGATGTGGATGTACAGGCTAGTGCAAAAAAAAAACAAAACTTGCCATTGGGGGTAATTATGAGTTACAGAAATAAAATGGAATGTAAGGGTGTACACTGTAAAAAAATTTTTTTTTTCAAGTTGTAAATAAAAAAAGATTATTGGAGAACATTTGACAAGAAAACACTATTTCAGGCTTTCTACTTCAAAATTTCATGTTTAATTCAGTGTTACTGGTCGTTTCTTTTTTAAGTTATTTATTTATTTATTTATTGTAATTTTCATATTCATAAGCTGTTATTGCTTTTTAATGCATAATGCCATCCTCACATAACACTGTTCTGTTGCTTCAAAGGTGAGAGTGAAAGAGAAAGAGTGGCTATTATATATTATATTATATTTATTGTGTCTTTGAATATATAAAATATATATAGTTTGAAAACCTTGTTTTTTATGTATATTTCATGTAGTCTCAATTAATGGGTTCAGTAAAAACTCCATGCATAATATTTATATATAAAAAATATTTTTTATTTAAGATCATTTTAGATGAAGTATAGCATGTGACACTGCAGGGCACAGTTGTGTTCTCACATTCACAAGCCTAATGCTTCAGTGGACGAATTGGCTGCCTCTGGCATTGTTCTACAAAACTCACTCTCGCCACCTCCAGCTTTCTCTCTCTCTTTCATCTCCAGTTTCCTCTGGGCAGAATGAAGATTTGGCCCCCTGGACATTTGAACCCATTATACTTTGTCACTCTCTTTCTCCCGCTCCTCAGAATGACAGCAAACATTACTACACACGGACTGACGGATGCATCTCCTCAGGAACTCTGGGCTATTTTTAGACCTTTCCCTTTTAGCACTCCAATCAATGAAATTCTGCGTTCCACCGTTTTGCCCCCACAAGGCTTGCTCTGTTATTTCTGCGTAAATGGAGGTCAAAGCAATTGATTTTGGTTCACATCCTATCTGCATTATTGGACTGCTGCAGTGTGTGTGCGTGTGTGCGCTTAATTCATGTTCTGAGTTTGTCCAACAGGGCTGGTTCCTTTTTTAATTCATCCAATTTCCTCATGTGCTTTATTAGACTGGTATTCATACACGTTTCCTAATTGGTCATGTGAAAATAGAAAAAAATGACATTTGCATTGATTTCCTCTCCTTGGATGGGTCGGGAGGCATTCACGGGCTTTGCCGTCCCCAAACGAGTTAATGTGCCGCCCCTTCCCCTCCTCTCAGAACTTCCATCAAGGCATTTTACCTTTAAACATTCAAAGTTATTGGAGATATATATATATTTTTTTTTTATCCCAGCTAAATATGTAGGCTAGAGACAATGGACCTGATCACCCCGTCTGTTTTTATTCTGCTATAATGACAGGCTGACTGTATATTATGCTGCTTATTAAGGCCAAATTAATAAATACTTTTTAACAGACGGGATATTTGAAAACAGTTTCTGGCGCATAAATTACATCAGGTTTAAACATGAAAGAATTTCTTGTAAATGTATGTTATAGGTCTTATTGTGAATGAATGTTTAATTTAACATTTTAATTATAACGTAATCTTTCTGATGACAACGATAGACTTGTCTCTTCTGACATATGCTGGCCCACATCTTAAAAGTCTCCACGCTACATGTTTTTTTTACCTTTTCGATAATTCGTTACACTCTGATGTATGTCACAATACTAAAGCAAAGATCTGTTTTATCATGACTTTACTATGTAAAATACACTATTGTTTTTCTACGAAGAAAAAAAACAAAACAAAACCACAAAGACAATTAGAAAACCTCAGGAAAATAATAATTATTTACTTGTGGTTTCAATCAAATAAAATGACAGACAATGTTAACTGTTATCAACAACAACGAAAATTACAATAATAATTTATAGCACTCTTAAAGCGACAGTGCAACATAATTGGTTTGTGTAAAAAACAGTGATGAACCAAAGAAAGGCCTCAAAGGAATTTTATGGTCCGTTTGGCATTTGCACATTTTAATTGAGGTCAGACAGTAAAATGCAGATCTGGCTGAAGCACTCTCAGGTTTGTAGGCACTGTACATTTTATCTACAGTGTTCCAGTGGCTGAAGGAGGGCCAGGTGCTCAGTCGTCAGCACGGCCCTAGAATTCAGTGTTAGTAACCGCTGTTTCACTATAAGAAACCAGTGAACGAGACAAAATAGGGAGATTTGGGTTGTGCTGTGATTGAAATCTTCACAGGGTCCTCTTTTTCATTACCACACTCGACAGGACTTCGTCCCCCTGTTCAGGATTGACGTCTCAGGGCAGTTAAAAGCTTTATGGAACTCTTCATAGTTGCTCATCGCCCCGATAACCCTTCATCATAGTAACAAGAGTAAAGTGAGTGACATTGAAGAAAATAAGGGATGTAATATAGATGTAAATGAACTGTGTGTATATTAATGCATCATACCTATATTTAGGAGGGCTGTGAGCTCCACTCTGGATCTGATGACGTGCTGCTTCTGGTCTGTAGGCATTACAGCAAACCTAGCAAATTACAATATATACACAACAAATCAATAGAGTCCCATTTAAACTAGACACTACAGGGAAAACCATTGTTTTCCATGCACTGGTTAATTTTAATCTTGGGCTATTTTGCTTTTCATAACATGTTGTGTCAGACTAGTGGAAAGAAAATATCTAAAACACACTTTTAAAGGTGCCATAGAATGCATTGATACAATATTTTAAATTGTTCTCTGATATCTACATAGAAGGTATGTGGCTTAGGTAAGGGCAAAAAATCTTCAGAAACGGTTTTACATGTCCATTTACAACCCTAGGATTTGTCCCTAGAATGAAATGTGACCCTGGTCTTAAGTCGCTGGGGGATATTTGTAGCAATAGCCAAAAATCCATTGTATGGGTCAAAATTATTAAAAAAATTTTTAATGCCAAAAATCATAAGAACATTAAGTAAAGATCATGTTCCATGAAGATATTTTGTAAATTTCCTATGGTAAATATATCAAAACTTAATTTTTGATTAGTAATATGCATTGCTAAGGACTTAATTTGGACAACTTTAAAGGCAATTTTCTCAATATTTTGATTTTTTATTTTGATTTATATTTAAATAGTTGTATCTCGGCCAAATATTGTCCTATCCTAACAAACCATACATCAATGGAAAGCTTATTTATTCAGCTGATGATGTATAAATCTTAATTTCGAAAAATTTACTGGTTTTGTGGTCCAGGGTCACAAATGGTCTGTTTTTACCTTATTTGGAAGGATCATGAATAATAATTTTGAGCTCTGCTCTGATTGGCTGTTTCACAGTGCCGCTCATTTCAGTAGCTCACACAGCAGTGGGTAACCTAAACCTAGTGGTCAGACTGACTTACTACATTTGAAATTTTGCCGATATCTCCCTTACTGTACAGTACACAATATTTTCATGAAAAAAATACTGTAATTCACCAGAAGTGTTTTTATTAATGTTCCAAAGGTCATAGTACATTCTTAGTTACAATACTAACTTACTATAGGTGAAATTTACCAATACCTCCTTTACTGTATGTACAGTACAAACATATTTTATGACAAAATTATAGCAATTTACCAATTTTTTCCCCACACTCCAAAGGTTGTAGTACATTCCTAGATACAAGACTGACTTAGCTACGCATGAAATTTTGCCAATATCTCTCTTACTGTACATACAGTACATAGTTATTCTTAGAAAACAGTACTAAAATTCACCAAAAAAGTTTTTTTCATGTTCCAAAGGCTGTAGTACGTTTGTAGTTACAAGACTGACTTACTACAGGTGAACTTTTGCCAATAGCTCCCTTACTGTACATACAGTAAATAATGATTCTTAGAAAACAATTACTGTAATTCACCAAATGGGTTTTTTTTATGTTCCAAATGTTGTAGTACATTCCTAGTGACCAGACTGACTTACTACAGCTGAAATTTTGCCAATATCACCCTTACTGTACATACAGTACATAATTAATCTTCAAAAACCATTACTGTAATTGACCAAAAGGGTTTTTTCATGTTCCAAAGGCTGTAGTACATTTGTAGTTATGAGACTGACTTACTACAGGTGAGATTTTGCCAATATCTTCCTTACTGTACATACAGTACATAATTAATCTTCAAAAACCATTACTGTAATTGACCAAAAGGGTTTTTTCATGTTCCAAAGGCTGTAGTACGTTTGTAGTTACAAGACAGACTTACTACAGGTGAAATTTTGCCAATTTCTTTCTTACTGTACGTACAGTACATAATTATTCTTATAAAACAATGACTGTAATTCACCATAAGGGGTTTTTTATGTTCCAAAAGTTGTAGTACGTTTGTAGTTACAAGACAGACTTACTACAGGTGAAATTTTGCCAATATCTCCCTTACTGTACGTACAGTACATAATTATTCTTAAAAAACAATTACTGTCATTCACCAAAAGTTTTTTTCATGTTCCAAATGCTGTAGTACATTCCTAGTGGCCAGACTGACTTACAACAGGTGACATTTTGCCAATATCTCCCTTACTGCACGTACAGTACATAATTATTCTCAGAAAACAATTACTGTAATTCACCAAAAGGGTTGTTTATATTCCAAAGGTTGTAGTACGTTTGTAGTTACAAGACTGACTTACTACACATTAAATTTTGCCAATATCTTCCTTACTGCACATACAGTAAATCATTAATCTTAAGAATTACTGTAATTCACCAAAAGGGGTTTTTCATGTTCCAAAGGTTACAGTACGTTCGTAGTGACCAGACTGACTTACTACAGGTGAAATTTTGACAATAACACCCTTACTGTATGTACAGCACACAACTATTTTTTATTAAAAACGAATTCACCAAAAGTATTTTTTTTCATGTTCTAAAGGTTGTAGTACGCTCCTAGTGGCCTTGGATTCTATAGCAGATTATTTATATTTATATTCATATTTATTTATGTATGTATATGTGTGTGTGTGTGTGTATGCTTGTGTTTGTATGTACAGTGCGTGCATAATTATTAGGCAAGTTGATATTCTGATCATATTTTTTTTCCAAGCACATTTGACCAATTCCATTCCAAACCACATCAATCTTAATAACTACTATTAATTTTGTATTTAATCATTTATAAGTGATATATAATTGTCCACGGAGGCTGGAAGTGAAAAACTTAATATATTCAGGTGTGCATAATTAGGTAGGGCTTCTTTTACCGATAAAATGATGCAAAAAAGTTATTAAAATTGATGTGGTTTGGAATTTGTAAAATGTGCTTGGTAAAAAAAAATATGATCAGAATATCAACTTGCCTAATAATTATGCACGCACTGTACATACAAACACAAGCGCACACACACACACACACACACATACATACATACATACATAAATAAATATGAATATACATATAAATAATCTGCTATAGAATCCAATTCCACTAGGAGAGTACTACAACCTTTAGAACATGAACAAAAAAATCCACTTTTGGTGGATTAGTTTTTAATAAAAAAATAGTTGTGTGGTGTACATACAGTAAGGGTGTTATTGTCAAAATTTCACCTGTAGTAAGTCAGTCTGGTCACGGTAAACAGAAGTGCTGACTCTGTGAATCAATGTCAAGGCTTTGCATCGACTCTTTGGGACAATGTCTTTATCGGTTCATGTGTGTGTGTGTTACCTCTTGGATGCTGGAATGTATCTGGAGCACTGGGTGCCGTCCCAAGCGCAGTAGGGGTCTCTAGCCAGGCAGCATTCTGCACAGCCCTGCCCATAAATATGGCACCTGTGAAGGGACACCTGCACCAACCCGTCGCTTCCTCCAACAAACATCTGCTGCTGCACACACAAACACACACACACACACACACACACACACACACACACATAAATAAATATGAATATGAATATAAATAATCTGCTGTAGAATCCAAGGCCACTAGGAGCATACTACAACCTTTAGAACATGGAAAAAAAAAAGCTTTTGGTAAATTAGTTTTTAATGAAAATATTTGTGTGCTGTACATACAGTAAGGGTGTTATTGTGAAAATTTCACCTGTAGTAAGTCAGTCTGGTCACTACGAACGTACTGCAACCTTTGGAACATAAAAAAAAACAATTTTGGTGAATTTCAGTTTTTTTTTTCTAAGAATAATTATGTACTGTATGTACAGTAAGGGATATATTGGCAATATTTCACCTGTAGTAAGTCAGTCTTGTAACTACAAACGTACTATAACCTCTGGAACATAAAAAAAAAAACGCTTATGGTGAATTACAGTAATTGTTATCTAAGAATAATTATGTATTGTATGTACCATAAGAAAGAAATTGGCAAAATTTCAGCTGTAGTAAGTCAGTCTGGCCACTAGGAATGTACTATAGCATTTGGAACATGAAAAAACCCTTTTGGTGAATTACAGTAATTGTTTTCTAAGAATAATTATGTACTGTACATACAGTAAGGGAGATATTGGCAAAAAATTACCTGTAGTAAGTCAGTCTTGTAACTACAAACGTACTACAACCTTTGGAACATAAAAAACCCCTTATGGTGAATTACAGTAATTTTTTTCCTAAGATTAATTATGTACTGTATGTACAATAAGGAAGATATTGGCAAAATCTCATCTGTAGTAAGTCAGTCTCATAACTTCAAATGTACTACAGCCTTTGGAACATGAAAAAACCCTTTTGGTGAATTACAGTCATTGTTTTCTAAGAATAACTATGTACTGTATGTACAGTAAGGGTTATACTGGCAAAATTTCAGCTGTAGTAAATCAGTCTGGCCACTAGGAATGTACTACAACCTTTGGAACATAAAACAACCCAGGGCTGTACGTTAACTTTTTTTTCACATAGCACTGGTGCTACAGAGGTTGAAAGTTTTGTAGCACAGGCCAAAAAGTTGTAGCACAAGTATAAAATGTCTGTTATCATGTCTGAAAACAAACACAAGTAATGGAGTTCATCACTTAAACAGGCACTGATGTTCCATACAGAGCACAAAAAATACAAACCATCACAAAAAATTTAAACAAAGTTTTCTTAATTTGCTAGAAATGGAAGAGTGCAGAAACATAACACCTCTTACACCTTAACAAAAATATAAAATTAAAAAAACAATGGCAGACATTTAGGCAAAGTTAGCAAAGATAAAAATCTTTGTCATTATTTTATCTTTGTTATTTTTACATTTAACATTTTATTTAACATTTTTCAGGTACAGTATTTAGCAGTATTTACAACATTTTATTTTTCTGGCACAGTATTTAGCAGTAGCATTCAAGAAATTGAATGAACAAATATTAAAATAAAACACTATATACATCAATTATACTTTTTTTAAAGCAACTGACTGATGACAAGTTCATCAGTCAAGAGCAGTGAGTAATTTTTCTCTGTGTTTTGTTGTTTTATTAACATTAAAAGAATAGTTCACCAAAAATAGAAATTCTGGCATCTGTCTTTCAATTCTGTCATAGTGTTTAATTTGTATACCATCATTT